AAAAAAAAAAAAACAAACACAACATACCTATGAGCTCTCCTTTCTGAAACATTAGTAATCAAAACTGCTTTATTCAAAAGCTTTCAATTCATATTTTAGCTAGGTAGCTGAAGATACAACAATATGTAGGCTATTGGCAAACTTTCATTTCTTTTCAGTGTATTTCATGGTAGACACTTGCTCAGAGTGCCAGAGAATATCCATAATCCAGTCCTTTTTTTTTTTCTCTAGGAGTTTGTTTTTTGCTCATTACACACAAGGCAGGGGGTGAATGGGAAGGAAATCCTTGTTAACTTGTCCCTTATGAACTCTGTAGAAATATCTACAGAGGTAGATTAAAGGAGGATGAGAAATCTGGCACCAAGGGAAGATTATAGACTCAAAGATTATAATATGATTTGTTATTCAATGAGACAATATTATATTAAATATTATTTTGAACCCCTGTGGTTTGGCACTAGTGGCCTCATTTGGCCTCGATACTTATTTGGCACCAACTTGCTGAACATAGACACTTCTCTCATTATTGTGAACATTTACTGACCATAGTCAGAGTGTTGCCTGCCCCCTGGAATAAAGCAGCACAGGCTGTCTCTGCCAGGGGTTTTACCACACAAGAAAGCAAGAGGTACAAAGTTAGGGTGGTAATGTGAAGGGCTCTGGGTACAGTTCTGATATTCACTGCTGTATCTCTCCTATCTTTTGGAGGAAGGCTGGGAAGCATATCCAGAAGTAATACTGTAACCCTGGGAAGCAGATGGCAATGATTACATAAATCAAGAGACCAAAGAGAAATAATACCAAGAAACTAGAACCAAAGATCAGTGGGAATAAAGGCAATGGGAAGGAAGAATCGATATATTAAGAATGGTATTTCTAGATGTATCAAATCAGTTAAAGAATTTAAGAGATCCTTTTTTTTTGGTTTTATAGGATATAAATTTTTTCCTAAAGAATAATTAAACTGACTTGCCAATATCAAGAAATAGGAAAAAGTGAATAGAGACTGTTCAGCTGTTCCAGATGATAAAAGAATACTCACCTTTTTCCCTTTGCCAGGAACAGCTTCCAGATGGAACTCTTTGGGTGTGAGAATGTTAAACCTATTCTCAACTCACATGAAGCACCAATAGTTCTTCCTCTGCTTGTCCTTTACAATGTCACAATTTCCATATCTTGGCACTGTTGGCATATTCGTATCCACCCTCCCTGATCCCATTTTTTTCTGTAGGAAGCCTACAGGCATTGTGAGGCATAACTGGTTTTCACCTGCTTTAAGGTTTCCTGTATCAAAGCATGAATTACACACCACTTAATCAAATGGGCAGTGGAGGAAACTAATGATTTCAAGCAAATACATTCAGAGAAGGTGCTTACACATAACAGTGAAATATCAGTGATGTGTCTCATTTTCAGATGACAGGGCAGAAAACACTTTCAGTAAATACTCTGGTGGGAGTACTTCCTCTCTAACTCACAACCACCCCTCATAAAATCAGGACTAGCTCATCCTATAGGGTCAAAGAATAATGTTTACTTCCTTTTGAGCAAAGTCATATGAACCACTCCCAAATTAGGAGATACTTGTTTTACCTAGGCAAAATGAAAGATATTATAACTCCTATAAAGAAAGATCAAGTGAGGGTAGCTACAAAGAACTATTTGATTGAAGCTCTGAAAAAACACTGTGAATGAGGGGTTAGCACTCATATTTTAAGTGTTGGTTAATATCTACATGGAAGTAAAAAAAAATTAAGAAATACATGACTGAGGATAGTTAATGAGACCTTAAAGGATGTAATAATGGATTTCAAATTAAGGCTCAATTTCTGTTTTCTTTGGAGAATTCGTTTTATGTGGAAAACCCTAAAGGAGCCTGATGTCATATATTGAGTTCAGGCCAAAATGTTTGCCAAGTGATGTTGCTGTCGTAATCAGTAAGCAATTGGCTTTCCCACTGAGGGCGGTGGGGACAGGGATAGGCTTAGGAAAGTCTGTTCCAAGTCTGTTAATGTAAAGTTTCCTTAGCTGTAATCTGTGCAGTTTGGTTTGTCCATATGGTGATATCACAGCCATGTTTCATGGCAATACTTTGTTCACTGACCAGTTACACTACGTGGATATGTGTCACTGATGACCTGAATTATGTACTTGGCTAGATTACAAGTAGAGTCTATGAGAAAGGTTTTATACAAAAGCAATGCCAGTAATTTTTGGCCTTTCTCATTGGCTTCACAGGAAAGCCAAAATAAAAATCATTTTAGTCAGTATAATTTTGCAAACTTTTCCCATAAGTGAAATGCCAGTTTTGCCTCTACTTGAAAAAAAGCTTGCAGAATTTTTTTTCTTTTTTCTTTTAACTTCAATGGGCTAAAACCTGTGAAGGAACAGAAAGATCTTTCTTTTTGAAACCATACATTCTTTTTAGAATATTAAAACACACTATTTATACCAACTATATACATTACTGTATTTCTGGCCTTGGAATAATCACTAAGGTAGAAAACAACTCTGCATAAAAATGTGGCTTCAACTGTGAATTTTTAAAAAGTCTTAAGTTAGCTTTCATAATATCTTGGCCAAGTAGACTAACACTGATACTCAAGTTTTACAAATAAAGGAGTTTAAATGGTAGCCACATAGTGAGGAAGGAGTCATAGCAGAAGGAATTTCTTGCTCCTGTCCTGCCCAGATTGACTAGATAGACAATTATATAAGGAGCATAGGGATCTTTGGAGGAAAGTCAAGAGGGCCCAGCTTTAAGCCTGTTGCTTTGCCTACATCCTGAGCATGTTCTCTGTTGGTAGGTTTTGGAAAAGTCCTTTTGGCTGAAGCAACTTTAAAAAGATTTCCATCATGGATCCTTTTTTACTATGACAAGCCTATTTTACAGACTGGCATCAGGCAAGAGGACTAAAACATGGCTTGAGCCCCATTTAATCCTACTGTTTAGTGGGTGTGTTAAACTTCTTTCGAAGAATTCTCTCAAAAAAACCTCAAATATGTCCTCTAGAGGCTTTGGATATTCCCTTAAAATACATAAATGAATAAATGTATTGATTATC